GCACCGATCGTCTGGCACTCCCCAGTGAGATGAACCCAGTACCTCAGCTGAAAATGCAGAAATCACAGGTCTTCTGTGTCGCTCGCGCTGGGAGTTGGAGACTGGAGCTGTTCCTATTCGGCCATCTTGCTCCGCCCCCTCCGTGCCACATTTTCTTAATCCAATCTGTCACTGATGGACATTTGGGTTGATTCCAAGTCTTTGCTATTGTGAATAGTGCTGATAGAGACCTAAATTTTCATTAAGATTTCCATTGCATGCTGACTGTAGGACTGCCCTTGTAGTACGAGAAGTAAATAAAGATCTGCTCTGCTCTTTTTCTTGAAGAAGTTTGGTACTGACGTCTGCTAGAATTTCTTTATGTCTGTGAAGATTGCAAAACACAGATACTGAGTATTTTGGGGTTTTTTACAAATTATGTCTAAATGACTTGCATTGTTTGAAAAGTCACCATGAGTCAATGAAAGATACCACAAACTATGTTTTAACTCTGAAAATGTATGAGAGCATGTGTACTGTACACAGTTTTAATTTTTAAATTGTTCTAAAGAACTACATGTACTTCTAGAGGATTTTTAACAAGTAATTCAAACAAAGTAGGGAGGGAAGAGCAAAAGCTATCAATGATGTGTGGATTAACAGGTGACATTTGTTGCCTTCTGAAATGGCTCTACTTATAAGATTCTTAAGGACACCATTAGAAATACTTGTGTTTAGGCTGGGCGTGGTGGGTCATGCCTGTAATCCAGGCACTTTGGGAGGCCAAAAGAGGTGGATCACTTGAGGTCAGGAGTTCAAAACCAGCCCAGCCAACATGGTGAAACCCTGTCTCTACTAAAAATACAAAACATTAGCCAGGCATGGTGGCGGGTGCCTGTAATCCCAGTTCCTTGGAAGGCTGAGGCAGGAGAATCACTTGAACCCGAGAGGCGAGATCGTTTCACTGCATTCCAACCTGGGACAAGAGCAAAACTCCATCTCAAAACAAAAAAAAGTAAAAAAGCAAATAAATACTTGTGTTTAAAGGGTAACTATATGAAATGATAAACATGTTAATTTGCTGGACTAGAATCACCATTTGATTATGTATAAATATATTAAAACATTATGTGGTACTCCTTAGATATACAGGAGTACCGAAATATATCCAAAACTATAAATCCAAAAATATTTTACTCCAGTGAAATAACTAAAAGTAAAATAAAGCTAGAAATACTTGTATTTAGTAAGCCAGTTACAGAAAAAAAACTATCTCTCGAAGACACTTTCAAGCATGTCTTTTTACCACCCTTGTACATTTCACCCATTATTTGAGAAGCATTTGACACTGAGGAATCATTCAGAGCAACAATTCCCTGGGGAGAAGGAGATAGCCAAGATTAAAGAGAACTCAATCATCTCCAAGGGTGATTAACTCCTAAAATTGTGACCCACGCATCAGAAGTGGGGCCTGCCCTTTTGGTATTCCACCTACCACCTCAGGCTGACCAAGGTGTTATTTTTCACCACTTTGTGAATTAGATTTCCTTTCAACCCTGTGTTAATTATTCCCTATTTCACAAGTATGCCTTTATGTGGCGTGGAAAAACTATACAAAATACTTTGTTCCAAGGTGGCCTCTAATGATACTACCAAAGGTCGCAATCAATGACAGTTAATTTACTGAGTGCCAGAATGTGCAGAGGAGTAGAAGTACCTGACCCTTTTTCAGTTTAAGTTGTAATCTTATAAAAAATAATTCAATTCATTAATATTTCTATACAGGGGAATGCTGACAAACAATTGTGTAACAATATCACTGTCTAAATTATGAAGCTTCAAAGAAACTTGGCTGAAAGACTAATAGATCAGGTTAACTATATAAGAATATTAAGGGGATAAAAAGCCATATAAAACCAAAAAACAGGCCAGGCACGATGGCTCAGGCCTGTGATCCCGGCACTGTGGGAGGCTGAGGTGGGCAGATCACTTGAGGTCAGGAGTTCAAGACCAGCCTGGCCAAGATAGTGAAACTCCAGCTCCACCGAAAATATCAAAATTAGCCAGGAGTGGTGATAATATGAAAGGTTGGGGCTGAGACAGGAGAATTGCTTGAACCTGGGAGGCAGTGGTTGCAGTGAGCCAAGATTGTGCCACTGTACTCCAGCCTGGGTGACGGAGTGAGAATCCATCTCATAAAAACAAAAAACAAAACAAACAAAAAAACACATCCAAAAAGAGGGGAGTGACATGAATTGTCCTGGATTAACTTTTTTTTATTTTTTTATTTTATTATTATTATTTTTTTTTAGATGGAGTCTCACTCTGTCACCCAGGCTGGAGTGCAGTGGCATGATCTTGGCTCACTGACACCTCCACCTCCTGGGTTCAAGTGATTCTCCTGCCTCAGCCTCCCAAGTAGCTGAGATTACAGAAGCATACCACCATGCCCGGCAAATTTTTGTATTTTTAGTATAGACGGGGTTTCACAATGTTGGCTGGGCTGGTCTTGAGCTCCTGACCTCTGGTGAGCCACTGGCGGATTAACATTTTAAAGGTAAGCTCATTTACTAACATCATTTTCCAAAATTGTTTAACCTAGTTAGCTTTCACTTCCCCCTAATCTCATGAACCTGTCTCACTAAAAATTATGCCTTTGAGGCAAATTAATGAGTTTCATTTATTTTCTATGATTCTGTGTTTTGACTTACTTGTTTAGTTTATCTGACAAAGATTCTCTAAGTTTTAATTCTTCTAGATACAGTTCCTTATATTTTTCCAATTCTGTTGTATTACAGTCTGCTTGTGAAGTTTTTGCTTTGTAGAGTTTGAATTCCAGATCTTTAATTGTAAGTTCCATCTGACTTTTCATAGTAGCATTGCTTTCCTCTGTTAAAAACTGTAACTTGTCATGGGCTATTTTCTGTGTCTAAAACAAATTGAAAGGGTACATTAAACAAATAATTATAATCTGAATAATTATTGTGTATTTGTTTCTTTTTGTTTTGTGTCGGTGATCTAGAGAGCATTTCTAAGTATGTGAATAAAAGCAACTGAAGTTTAATATATTTATTATGAGTATCAACTAAATTAATAACTTAATCTGAATTGTAAAAAAATTAAATCATGCTTATAGTAGTACTCATGAAATGTAACACTCCAAAGAATAATAAAATCAATTTAAATTCTGAAAAATTGAGCAATATAACTTAAGAATACTTCAAGAGTATAGTATAATTTCTAAATCACATTTTTCTTTCTCTATTAGTCTTGTTTCATGCCACTTGTCTTAGTAATCAAATGATTCACTAATGAGAATCATTATTATGGAAGATCAATTTAGTTACAATAATGATGGCAAGTGAAATATTTAAAGAGAGAAACAGATACCACCTTCCTTCTAGAAATCTACCAAACAAATTGCTATAAGTGAAGGAGAGGAAACATATACTATGTATGTATCCAAAATATAATTTGCAGTGAAATAAATGAAGGCACGTTCCTGATAATAAACTAACCTGTAAAATTAGATTAATGGTTTCTAATTGTTCTGCTATCTCCTGCCTTGCTCTTTCTTCGACCTCCTGTTTATAGTGTTCCAATTGGTCACATTCTAACATATTCATTTCCATGTGACTTTTGAGGTTTACTAGTTCTTCTTCCAACTTCTCCTGATCCTTCCGTAGTATTTTGCACTTTTCTTGCATTGTTTTCATATATAATAATGCCTGTTGAAGAACTTCAATCCCTGCATCCACATGTAGACCTTCTGAAGATGCAGTTTCCACTGCTTCTGTAAGATCAGGCTGCATAAGTAAAATAATATGGTTTTGTAATGAAGAAAGAAGACAGAATAGTCTAACATAAAACTAATCATTTTTTAAATAAATTCAGTTGCAATAAAATGTTATCTATACTGTAGTAGATTCTTAAAACATGGATCTTTGAATTACTTAGAAAATCAAAAACAAATTTAAAACCACCAGGAATCACAAAAATGTATGTTTTACTCACATCATCTTTGCCACACAATATTTTTATGTGATAGTAGGCTTTCATTTTCCTGATTGTGTAATATATTTCCTCTTTAAAATGGCTCCAAGTCACTTCTTTATTGTTTGTTTTTGGTTTTTTTGTTTTTGTTTTTGTTTTTGTTTTTTTGAGGTGGGATCTCGCTCTTGTTGCCCAGGCTGGAGTGCAGTGGCATGGTCTTGGCTCACTGCAACCTCCGCCTCCTGGGTTCAAGCGATTCTCCTGCCTCAGCCTCCTGAGTAGCTGTGATTACAAGCACCTGACACCATGCCCAGCTAATTTTTTGTATTTTTAATAGAAATGGGGTTTCACAATGTTGGCCAGACTGGTCTTGAATTCCTGGCTTCAAGTGATCTGTCTGACTCAGCCTCCCAAAGTGTTGGGATTACAGGCGTGTGCCACTGCATTCCGTCTAAGTCACTTCTTAGTACAAAGTCTCTTGCCCCCTCACACCCTTTGTTATTCCCCATAATTTCTAAAAAAGTTTTAGGAACACCATATTAAATTATCCAAACCTAAACCAATAAATCACTGTGAGAAGAAGACTTGAAAATAAGACTCTAATGAATCTTTATGATAAAACCTCCAACAGATTAGGCATAGAAGGAACATATTTCAACACAATAAAGACCATATATGGCAAAACCACAACTAACATTACACTGAAAGAGGAAAAGCTGAAAGTCTTTCCTCTAAGAACTGGCATAAGACAAGGATACCCACATTCAGCACTCATATTCAACACAGTATTAGAAGTCCTAGTCAGAACAACTGGGTGAGAAAAAAATGAAGGGCATCTAAATTGGGAAAGAAAAATTGAAATTTCTCTTTGCACATGACCTGATCCTGTATATAAAAAACCTAGACCCTTCAAACAAACTCTTAGAACATTTCATCAAATGGCTACAGAATACACATTCTTCTCATCGGCACATAGAACATTCCCCAGAATAGACCATACATTAGGCCAGAAAACAGGTCTTAGCAAATTTTAAAAACTTGAAATCATATCAAGTATCTTCTCAAACCACAATGGAATAAAACTAGAAATCAATACCACTTATGATTGCTAAAAAATAATAAAATACTACTCAGGAACAAATTTAACCAAGGAAGTGATAGAGCTCCCCTGCAAGAAAACTATGAAACATTGATGAAAGAAATGGTAGAGGACAAAAACAAATGGAAATATATCCCATGCTCATGAATTTAAAGAATTAATATTGTTAAAATACTACCTGAAGGAGTCTACAGGTTAAATACGATCGCTATTAAAATACATATTAGTCTATTTTCACACTGCTATAAAGATGCTACCCAAGACTGAGTAAAATGTATTTAAAAAGAGGTTTAATTGACTCACAGTTCTGCATAGCTGGGGAGGCCTCGGGAAACTTACAATCACAGCAGAAGGGGAAGTAGGCTCATCTTACATGGTGGCAGGAGAGAGAGGAGAAAGAGAAGGGGGAAGAGCCCTTATAAAACCATGAGATCTCATGAGAACTCACTCACTATCATGAGAACACCATGGGGGAAACTGTCCCCATGATCCAATAACATCTCTCCCTTGACATGTGGGGATCACAGGTTTCTCCCTCCACACATGGGGATTATAATTTGAGATGAGATTAGGGTTGGGACACAGAGCCAAACCACATCAAAATATCAATTACATTTTTAACTGGGGAACAAGATGATCAACCAGATGCAGCCAGGAAACACCTCTTCCACAGACAGAAAACAAAATATTGAGTAAGCCATCACACTTTGAACAGATTTTGGGGGGGAAAAGCACTCAAAGTCAATAGAGAGGCAATGCAGACACTGAGTTTGAAGAGGAAGGAAGCTAGGAAGCCAGATGGAGTCACCAGTCACCAGGACCAGCTCTTGGTCCAGAATTGGACCTAAGGAAAGAGAGAGTGAAGGAACTAGAGGTCACACAATCCTGCCAGGGACCTCTGAGATCCTAGGTACAAGAGATCCCATGATACACACAGACATTTGAATTGGCAGGGGGAACTGCCAAGAGAGTAGGGAGAGGCAGAGCTTGAACATGCATGGAGCCCAAAAGATTTCATGCATGAGGCAGCTGCAGGAAAATATGAGAATAGGCACCCATCCCCCAAGGCTCTCCATCTTTCTGGTTACTTTAGCCCCTGCTGACAGCCAGACCAGGAGAGAGCAGGGCTGCCTTTCCCAAGGGCCTGAAGTGCATTTGATTTGCACAGCCCCTTGTCTGCCTGTCCCTCCCCAGCTCCTGCCTGGTTGCTCCCTCAAGGGTGTACACATAGCACAGCCTCCACTGCCCCACCTGAGTGTTTGTCTGGCAGCCTAAGAGCAGTTTGCCCACTCCAGCACAGCCAATGCTTGACCCTGAGGTACCAGAGGATATAGCTACAAGACCCGTCCCAACTTCCCAGGGTTTGAGTGCACAGTTAAGGGGTATTGAGCTGATATCTGTGGCCTGAGCTCAAATTGGGGTGGCACCCCCGACTCTCAGAACAATGAGAAGAGTGAGGCACAGATTCATGTGCTAGCACAGGAGCTGGGTGTGCCTCCTTCTACAAGACTGGTCTGGAAAAAGCATAGCCGGTTGGCTGGCCACAGACTCCATCCAAGGGAAACCTGTGACCTGGAACACATATCAGGCCAAAGATTTGGGTTCAGAAAGCTTGGGGCAAAACTAGCTGGTCAGGCCTTACCTAAAAGTACACATCACAGAAAACCTGGTCAGGGGAGCATGAGTTTTATGGTCCTCAAAGCCAACTGCTGAGCAAAAAACTCCAGGATGTGCATACTTCACCAGCTGCACACCCATGGCACCATCCACCCTATCCAGGGGACCTTCACCCTTGACCCACAGCATCCACAGACACCTGCAGACATACCCCGTATCCCACTCAGACTCTTCCAAGCACAAGGAATCAGCAGGTCCCTGGACATTTGGAGGACTAACCTTTGGCTCAGGCTGCCCCTAAAGCAAGCTTGTCCTGGGCCCATGGGCTGCATGCAGACCAGGAAGACTTTGTGGCCCAACACACATTTGTAAATTTTCTTAAAACATTATGAGTTTTTTTGGCAACTTTTTTTAGCTCATCAGCTATCATTAGTGTGTGTTTAATGTGTGGCCCAAGACAATTCTTCTTCTTCCTATGTGGTCTTGAGAAGTCATAAGATTGGACATCCCTGGCCTTAAAGATGGAGGCTGTGCAGCTGTCCAGGGACTTCTTTGGAGCTAAGAAAGAGGGAGTGTAGCACCAGTGATTGAAGGGGATTCTCTGAAGGCTGGGGAACAAACTTTGTGAGAAAGGCATTTCTTGCCTCCCTGCCAACTATTTCCCCCTCCTCAGAGGCCTGCTCCAAACACACTGATATACAAAAGAGTTATGCAGCTGAGTAAGAGCCTATCTACCAGCTCTTACTCCAAAGCACCATCTATGGGATTGAAGCCAGAATTACACTACCAAACAAAATTAATTCCCTCAACACAGTTAGCCTGTGAAAACCAATGCAGGAAACTAGCCACAACTAAGAAATCCGTAGAGGCCAGGTACAGTGGCTCATGCCTATAATCCCAGCATTTTGGGAGGCCAAGGCAGGTGAATCACCTGAGGTCAGGAGTTCGAGACCAGCCTGGCCAATATGGTGAAACTTCATCTCTTCTTAAAAAAAAAAAAAATTAGCCTAGTGTAGTGGCCCACATCTGAATCCCAGTGACTTGGGAAGCTGAGGCAGGAGAATCACTTGAACATGGGAGGCGGATGTTGCAGTGAGCCAAGATTGTACCACTGCACTCCACCCCAGGTGACAACAACAAAACTTGAATGAAAGGAAGGAAGGAAGGAAGGAAGGAAGGAAGGAAGGAAGGAAGGAAG